CAAGACATATTGGTTTCCAAAATTAAAATTTAAGATTGGAAATCATGTTCAAAATTGCTTAAAGTGTATTGAATTCAATCCTAAAAGTGGCAAATCAGAAGGATATCTACATAGTATACCTAAGGGCAATTTACCTTTTGAAATGCTTCATATTGATCACTATGGGCCATTAGCTCCTTTTAATAAGAATAAATATATATTTGAAGTTGTTGATGGGTTTACTAAATTTATTAAGTTCTATCCTTGCAAATCAACAAATACAGGAGAAGTAATTAAATATTTAACTGAACATTTTGCCAATTATAGTGTACCGAGCGTTATCAGTTCAGACAGAGGATCTTGTTTTACCTCTCATGATTTTAAGAAATTTTTGGAGGAGTATACAATCAAACACATACTGATTGCAAGTGGTTGTCCGAGAGCCAATGGGCAAATAGAACGCATGAACAGGTTATTGACACCTCTTCTAGCAAAGATAACCGATGAAAAACAAATCAACTGGCCAAATGCATTACATGAAGTGGAATTCTGCATCAATAATACAATAAACAGATCAACAGGAGAAACCCCAGCTAAGTTACTTTTTGGAAGAGATCAAATAGGAAAGATTAGGGATAATTTAAGAGAAGCATTACAAGATATTGATAAGGAAGAACGGGATTTAGAAATGATTCGAACTAAGGCAGAAGCACAAATAATTAAGGCACAAAATGTAAATGAACAGTATTATAACAAGAAGCATAAGGAGGCTCAAAAGTTTAAGGTGGGGCAATATGTTATGATTTCCAACGTAGACACAACCCCTGGAGTAGCTAAAAAACTTATACCAAAATTTAGAGGACCGTATGAGATTGTGAAAGAGCTACCAAATGATAGGTATATTGTGAATGATATTGTTGGGTTCCAAACAACACAAGTACCATATGAGGGAATTATAGACAGTAGTAGGATTAGAGCTTATGATAAATAATCAATTTCATTATTAGTTAGGGTTAAAATAATTATGTTTAATTTTTATTCAATTATGTTTATGCTTATTTATAATCCATTACTTGTACCATTACATCGAGACAGTTAGGGTGTGTTATGGATATTATGATTTCCATTTGTACCCCTATGGACACTTCAATCCATTATGTATGTTATGTCGTGCTTATTTAAACTATTATGAATGTTATGCCTTGCTTATTTAAACCATTATGAATTATGATTATTATGATTTGTTTATTTAACTCATTATGAATTATTATTATTATTACTGTATGTTTTAAACTTTAAAGGAAAATGTTCATTTCAAATATCCATTATGTTATGTCTTATGAAAGTCATGAATGTTAAATATCTTAGTTATGTAATTAATATACTGTAATATTAGGTTGATCGAGGACGATCAGACGTGTCAGGATGGCCGAACTGTAGTCTTATTTGAATTTCGCGCCATTGACAGATCTGATTGTCACTCAATTTGAAAAAAAAAAGAAGATAACCACACTTTATGTTTAGACTTGACACTTGTGATTATGAATTATGGCCATCTGAATGTTATGAAAACTATTATGTCGAATTATGTACAATTAGTGTTTCTTTCCGCTAAATAAACTTAAGAAAACTAGAACAATATTATTTATTAACGGAGCCTACACTGTATATCTATTGATTATATTATATTATATTGATTATTATACAGTGTAGGTAAAATTTTAAGGTCGGTATGGTAAAATTTAACAGGATATCTAACGCAGATATAAAATCATAATTATGTTCAATGAATTAGACAAAGATAACAATCATATTTCCCCTTCGTCTCCCCTCCTAAAATCCTTTTAACACTCATTGGCCATTGCCCATTAGTGAGACGATTAGTTCCGATCAGATATTCTCTGGTTCCGATCCTAATATACCTAAAAAACTAGAGGTGGGTCTTCTCGTTTTTTTAATTTTTATCGGAACAGTTTTTCGTAAACTGTAACTAGTTGATTGTTTACCAGTATTCAAATTAGCGAGTACACAAACATATTAGCTATTATCGTTTATGTGTATAAGTATTGAAATAAAAGAACCTAACGAAGGATATATTTATTGTAACTTGAAAAATAAATTAAATAATACAAATGGTACTTAAATAGTTACATTTACATTACACATTATTAAATCGCGAATCGTCTAAATTGACATTTAAAAACATAAGTTTTTCCACTTTTCTTGTTAATCGCGTTCTTCTTTTATTTAAAATTATACCAGATGTTAAACATGTGTTCACAAGGAAAAGATTTTGTTACAATACTACAACATTTTATGAATATAGTGGTTAAGTTACGATATACATGGCGATGGTTTTTTCACCACGGTAATGGACAGTTCCAATCTCCGTTCGAAATTGTTTGTGGGTAATATATCATCAGACAATTACATGTCGACTTCTTTTATACCTCTCGATACAGGTGTATGTTTAGATGAGTCATGTCCAATTAATTCATCAAAAATACACCATGGACTTAAGTCATCTTTATCAGTTTCTTTTTCTTGGACTGATTGATTTTCAAGATTTACTAAACTTTTCGTTTCATCCGTTTTCCATAGTTAAAGAACCAGCTTTTAAAAAGTTTGCAGGGTGGATTCCTGGATATAAACCGCCAACAAGAAAAACTTTGTCAGGTTCATTACTTCAGGAATGTTATGTCAAAAGTGAGCAAATTATTAGATCGCAAGTTGTTAAAGAAGTAGAAAATATCTGTATTACTACTGACCTCTGGACATCTGGAGTAACTGAGAGTTACTTCGCATTAACAGGACAATATTTAACACAGGACAATAGTTTTTATGTCAATTTAGACTATTCGCGATTTAATAATAACGTGTAATGTAAATGTAAGTCCGATTTACTATTTGTATTGTTTAGTTTAGAACAGAATATTTAAAACAGAATATTTAAAAATTGGAGGAAATACCACAGATCTGAGGCTTGAAAACGCAGTCATAAAAGGCTGCAACCAGTATAAATATCTAGGAAGCATCATATCAGCAGATGGCAGAGTTAAGATAGATGTACAAAACCGAATAACCCAAGGGAAAAAATGCATCCGAATACTGAATTCATTACTGTGGTCTAATAAAATAAAGATGCATACCAAACTTCGCGTATACAGAGCAATTGTAGAACCAATTACCACATATGGTGCCGAATGTTGGACGATGACAAAGAATGAACGAGATAAAGTAGACGTTGTGGAAATGGATTATCTTAGAAGGTCATGTCGAGTATCGAGAATGGAAAGAATCAGGAATGAGGAAATACGAAACCGTACAGGAATTAGAGATACTCTTTCAGATAGAATACAAGGAAGGCAATTACAATGGTATGGTCACGTGATGAGAATGGAGGAGGAGCGGTGGCCAAAGAAAGCCTTAATGTATGTTCCGCCAGAAAGAAGGAAAAGGGGAAGACCACCAAATTCCTGGAGAAGAGAAATTACAAAAACAATGCAATCTAGAGGCTTAGAAGAGGGAGATTGGGGAGATAGGAAAAGATGGAGGCTGAAATGCGGGAAGCGGCAATCGCCGTAGGACCCCCGTTATATGATGATGATGATTGTTTAGTTTATTTTTCAAGTTATAATAAATATATCATTAGGTTGTTTCTTTCACTTCAAAAGATATAACACATAAACGATAATAGCCGTTATGTTTGTTTATGTAGGTACTATCTTACTTGAAACTACTTTTAAACAATCATAGTTACTTGTTTATGAAAATTAAAATTTTTAAATGCTTTTTAGCATTCAAAAAAATTTAAATTTGTTTGGAATCCTGAGAAAACTAACAAATATTTTTGAAAAATTTAAATGCAGAATGAAAGATTACATTATTACCGAGGGCCGAAGGTCCCTTAGAATAAACAAAAAGTTTTTTTAATGAGATATTTGAAATTAAAAATCACACTAAATTTTGTTTTTTTTTTTCATCCCTATAACTTATTAAAATAAACATTATAGAAGTTTTCAGGGACTTTCAGCTCTCGGTAATAATGTATTGTTTCATTCTGCGTTTAATTTTTTCAAAAATATTTATTAGTTTTCTCAGGATTCGAAAAAAATGAATGCATTTAAAAAACATTGCCCGAAATTTTGCACCTACGCTCTTAACGATAAACTAGCACGACCCACCTCTACTTCTCGTTACTCGATCTTTTGACCAGACGACTATCTAGACTAGACGTTGCCAAATAAATTAGTGTATGAATATTTTTTAATTTGGCGTTATTGTATGCATGTTTAATTGTTTATTATTTCATATTGGGAAATTATTTTGATGTTTAGATTTTTAGTTCGGAAATCGTACTTAAAATACGAAACATTAATAAATTTTATTTATATAAAACGATTTCCGAAATGGAAATCAAAATGTTATATTACAATTATTGTAAAGAAAACTTGTGGCATATTCCCAATAAAAAAAACAGTAACCTGCCATTTAAATCAATTTCGCCCAAATTTGATTATCTTGAGCATTTTATCTTCTTGATAGAACATTGTTCAAATGCAAAAAAAGACAACAGGTCAAATAAAACCAATAAGTTTGGCAACGTTGAATTTCCCCTTTTTTAATATTTCCATTCGGCGATATAAAGGGCGTACCTAATATACCTCTCTCTTTTTAAACAGCTGTTTCTCACTCCATCTCACGTAAGGTCCATACCGACCATAAAATTTTTCCTACACTGTATATCTGTATGGTACTGTATATAATCAATATAATTCTAAAATTTCCAATATAATAATGATTACATTTTTCTGATTATTACGCCATGTTGACGCCTATGAAAGATCGAGCAGTTCCGTATGGGTTTCGTATTATTAGCTGTGTTAGAAAAATTTGAACTCTAAGGTTGATGTTCTGGAAATTTTAAATACAAGTGACGTCACTTTGTAGAAATCGTGACATGCAAGTGTTTTACATTGAAAAATGGTATATAATAAAGTCGTGACATATTTAATACTCACCATCTTCACTAGTAACACCCTTATCGACGCTTTTTTGTACAATGTGTAACATATCCAAACAATTAACTAAAAGTCTCGTGCATTCGGATATCACAGGTTGTTCATCTTTTTTAAACATAGAAATGAGTACTTGTAAAAACAGTCTCAAAAATTTAATTCTGGCAAACAAAGCATGAGTTTCCTCATCCGGATTAATTCTATTTTTCTTATGCAGATCTTCCTCAACTTCCCGTAGCATTCCAATCATACGCTGTTGAGAAATGTCAGGATTTAAATGGTAACCATACTGCATTGGTTGGAAATCTTCTTCCTCATACACCATACCACTAGAAAATTGTATGTAATTAACACTAAGAATCAGCTCAAGAAAATTGCTCTACATAAAAATGTCCCTAATTTAACCAATCAACGCCTTGTGTGACAACTTGGTTGCAGTGAAAATGGTGAAGGATGCAATGCGTCGCAACAGGTTTATCCAAATAAAGCGTTTCATGCACTGTGCTGACAATACACAAATGGATTTAAATGGTAAAATGTGGAAATTGAGACCAGTAATCAAAAAATTACAGAGTTCTTTTCTCAAATATTATCAACCAACTGAAAATATGAATTATGATGAGTCGATGGTGAAAATATTATGGTCGCCATAATTGTAAACAATTCATTAGGGGAAAACCGATAAGATTCGGTTATAAAGTATGGTGCCTTAACTCCGAAACTAGTTACCTTGTAAATTTTGAGATCTATCAAGGGAAAAGTACAAATTCGAATAATTTTTGCCAACTTGCATTTGAAAAGGCAGCCGCTCCCCTTGTCTCGATGTTGGATACTTTGCCACAACAAAAGCTGCCTTAACAAACCTATGTAGATAACCTTTTTACTGGATTCAATTTATTGGTGTATTTAAAAAAAAGGATATGGTATCACAGGAACAATAAGAGAGAACAGAATACCACAAGATAGGTTATTTGGTTTCAAAAATTGACAAGATAATATTATGTTGACAAGATGGATGGATAATGCCGTCGTAACAATGGCATCAACTTCATATGGTGTGCATCCTATTCAACAAGTAAAACGTTATTCACATTCTGAAAAAAAAGTTGTCCAAGTTCCTCGCCCATATGTTGTTGGAATGTATAACAGTTTATGGGAGACACTGATAGAATGGATGAGGATTTTACAAGATACCATATAAGTATTCGTAGTAAGAAATGGTATTGGTCTATACTTACATGGTTAATTGATGCTGCAGTGCAAAATTCGTGGATACTTTATAAGTGTTCAGGAAGATCGACAACTAATTTGAATTTTCTACGTGAAATCTCGACTACTTACCTTACCAAAATAAGAAACCTTCCCATTAGACCTGGTAGACCAACAAGTAGAAATAGTCTCTCTTTTAACGGACCTCTCACAACATTAGGTACAATGGTATTAACCATCACATTATACCTGTTGCTAACAAAAAACAGTGGAGCGCAGGAGAAAGGTGCTGTTCAGTTGGATGTACGCAGTGTGAATTGGTCACAGTTTGTAATGTCATATATTTGATAAACAAATAAAATTGAATTCTGTTCATTCTGCTGAACAGGTTACATTCAAAGAACCCTCAAATAGGAATGCATGTTATCCCCAATGTCATCTAATATTCGGATATAATTTTCAAACAGGCTTTGCAAGATAAAGATTTTGATAGAGAAAATTATTGGTGAACTGATAAATGATTTATAAGGTAAAAACGGTCACTTATGTTTAAGTAGAGTGGGGGGTCTTGTCAAACGTTATGATGCGTTACATGGAGGGGAGGTGGGTCAAGAATGTTCAAAAATTGCATTAGCGAATACTTGAACGCCCCCCCCCCCATTCATAGTTTTATTTTATAAAAATTGTTAAACAATGTTCTCAATATAAATTAACTCACTTATGAACAAGTTCCTTGATCTCATCCAGTAATTTGTACATGGCTAAACAAAATACTCTTAGAATTCGGTCTTCTATTATGTATGGCTTATGTAGATATAAGTTAATAAATACCGTCTGTGCTAGTGAATGCCCTTCTAGCCAAGAAACTAGACAAGCAAAGGTACTATCTATTATTCCAATTAATTCTGCATTGCTAAATCCATCTAATTTTAGAATCTTGTCCTAAAAAATAAAGATAGTAGATATGTAAGTAATCTTATTTTATATTTAACAGGAACAAGTAAACAGATTTTTTTTAAATAATTCTGAAGCATATCTGTTGTCATAAGATCTGGATCTTTCTTTCTTTCCTTTTCCCCTTCATTTTACCCTATCACCTCTTCCATTCTTTTTTATTTCCTGCCATTATTTTTAATTCCTCAAGTGATTTTTGTTTAATTTTACCTGCCTCTACTACTTGCTGATCTATTTTTTTCTTGGTCTGCTTCTTTTTTTGGTTGGCCATTCTGCTAATAGTCTTGTTACTTAATCTACCCCATTTCGTCTTTCCAACTATCCTTCTTAGGTGTCTCATCTCTATTGCATTTATCCTACTCTTATGTCTTTTTCCAGAATTGTCCAGTTTTCATTTGCATAGAGCACAGTCGGTATGAATATTGAGTTGTAATTTTTATCCTTATTTGACTTCTTTGCTCTATTTGTTATTTCCCAGTATATTTTTACGTTGTTAGTAATTATACTTCTCCATAGTGTTTATTTGTGTTAAAAATATAAAATCTTACAAATGTCAAATATGTACAAAACCTCAATTAAAATTAAAATTGTGCTGTAAGTATTCATGAATTGTATAAAAAGAATCTTTTGCCAATATTTTTTTAATTTTATTTTTAAATTCCTTTTCAGGCAAGTTTCTGATGTTCTCAGGTAGAACATTAAAACATTTTATTGCCCAATACCCTGGTCCATTTTGAGACCTTTTCAAACTTCAATAGGCTGGTGTCATATTATTCACATCTCTCATTGTTAAAATCACTTGTTTAGTTTTATTGTTGTTTAAAACAAACTTATTCGCAGCAAACCATTGCTCAGTTGTCTGCCATGACACCATAGAACCCTCCAGTACATCTTCAATATTATTCCTTATGTTCCATGTTTGGAAGATGGTTTATATAACTAAAAAATAAAGAATTTCCAGCTATTGGTGAGTTGTAACTATTTCCAATTCTACATTTTTTTGTTTTTACATTTTATCTTTATTTCATTATCTTCCTCATTTTCTTTGCCACTGATTATCATTATTTTACTTTTTTCCTCATTTATGTCCATTTTAGTTCTTCTATTTGTTCTACTCATATATCCATCCACTAGTTTCTGCATTTTATTAGGACTTTACCTTGTTACTAGTTGTAATCATTTGCATTTTCCATTACTTCTATAGCGTATTATTTCCTTGCCACTCAGAGATGTCACATATATTTCCTTATTGCTGTTTTCTTCTTCTCCATTACTAGTATTATCATTGATTTCATGCTTCCTGGTTTTTGTATTACCATTATATTGGATATTTTTTTTAAGATCTGGATCAATTCTTTTAAAAGAAAGTTAAAAAAATTAATTTATGACAATTATTTTGCTAAATTTTTATATACAATATACAATGACTGATTTTGTGATATCTGTGACTTTTACTGTCAGTTTTCGTGTATATTATAATACCTGAGATGAAAAATTTTGTGATAATAGAATCTTTTGTGATGTGCATATAGCAGCATAAGTATATGTTTTTTTAATTTTAAAATAAATTACGGAATAGCTCATGATTTAAGTCTTAAAGTTTTGTTTTTTCACTTGCTTTTAAGTCAATAAAAGAAATATTGTTATTATTATTGGTATTTATAAAATAACACTTACTTGTACAGCTTGGTCAAATGTTATAATTTTTCTTGATCCTCTATTACAGAGCATGCCAGCATCCATTTTTGGATCCATCATTTCAATGGCAGACATAGCTTCAAAAAGACCAAATAGATCATCATGAAGCAATTCTCCCAGTTTTAAATCTGCAATAATATTAAACCAAAATATACCTAAAGGAAATGATACTTTAACCTCTTATATATTTTGGAGACAATGTCTATTTTGATATTAATTTTATAAGGTTATATTTTATTATAATTTTCTTCAGAATCTGTTTGTAAATGATGCGGGGCTGTAAAGAGTAACAAATATAGAAACTTGCCTTTAACTGCTTCTTGAAATCTGGATGTAATATTCCAACTTGCTGGTACTTTTCGAGGACATGATTGAGGAGAATTGACACTAGAATAACAGAATCAAATAAAGTTTGTTTTTACTCTCTTGTTCATAATTCGACTTACCAATCAGTTTCCATTTTAAACTTATATTAATTTTTATTATAATTTTATGTTTATTATCTGGACATAACCTAATTTAACCTAAAACAATCCTGCGATTCTTCTTCTTTATCAAACGCTGTAAAACCAGAGATATGTAAGACATATCTCTGGGTAAAACCAATAAATAACCAGGTCACTTAATTTATCCTCTTTTGCGGATTATGAGTAGACTTAAAAATTATGAAAATTGAAAATTTTGTCCTATTATATGGGTCTAAACTGTATTGAGTAAAAGTTATTTTAATTAGAGTTAAAATAATTCCTCCATACTTGAGGATAATCCCTCCAATCAAAATTTCATTTGTAGATTTTCCGTTTTCAAGTTATTCATAATAATAATATAAGAATTTAAAATTTTTCGGCGCAGCGCTTAAAATATATCCATTTTCTGGTTATCAAAAGCTGTATAACGAATAAATAACCATATTGCGGATTACAAATAATTTTTGTTGTTTGTAATTAAAAATAATTATACTAATGGTAATACCGTTCGTATAATGTACTCCATGGTAGTATCATTGTTGTTGGACCCATGATACTATGACTATAAGATAAGATATTGCGCATGTTTTTGTGACGTCATTGGAGACTTGCACGTTCGAAATGTCAGTTTTTGTATATATCAATAAATAATCTTTAATAAATAGTTTGGAGATATCCTTATCTGTACGATTATTGTAATTATTAAACCTCTTAACTTACTTTCGTCTAGTAATTTCATCACAGAATGCATACAAATCTCATTTAACTTTAACAAGAATTCAAATTCTAGTCTCCAATGACGGCATGCGCGAACCCGACCGATTTTGAGCTACGGGAAGATCCTATCTTGTTATTCATAGTATCATGGTTGGACCGACACTAACGCAGCGCTGCTAATACGACGACATTAGCGCTCGGATAACAGGACCCTATTCGTATCGTTATTAATGTTTCCACATTCTACGCTTGCCGGATAGTTTACATTTTGACGAAGTAAGTCTAAAACGTTAATCTCAAAAACTTTTTTTTTCATCCATTAACTTCGAGTTTTTTATCGAAGTTAACTAATTTCCTTCATCTAAAAAACGTTTTCTTGGCTTATTTCAGATGCCCCTGAAGATGCTATTTTAAGCGAAAGTACTTGGGCTAGATTTAATTAACTTGTGCTCGATAATAGCCTTATTTTTCAAAGTTTAATTAATAATTTCTCGAACTTTTGGATCAGTAGGGTTTCCACGTTCCATTATTATATTTTACTCATATTAAAAGTGACACTTGTCTTTATATGCATCACGCACCTTACTTCCAGTGGCTGGCCATGGCAATTATTGTTGACAACGCACTACCACTCGTATGTTTGATTTCAAAGCCTTCTTTGTGTTAGGCTGATAAAATTTAAGAAACGTGAGGAAAAGCCAAACACAATTAAGCCGCAAAAATAATTCCATACATTATAAAAATGTTAATTTCATATTTACAATTAAAAAAAAATTAAATAAAATAATTTCGGTAAATTGGCATTATATTCGCAAAATAACTGCTTGTTCCAACATACAGTTGTTAGGGCCCGTATGCCTTTAAATCAAAGTTACTGGAAAATTTCGAAATGTAATGAAAAACCAACAGTTTATATAGTTGACCATATAGTATTAACAAAGAATATAGATGGTATTAAGTTATGGACATAAAGTTTGTTTGTTTATTTAACGGGATGAACCCTTTTTCCTTAAAAAAATTACAATATACACATATAATTAACATATAAACTGTAGTCATATATTACAATTTTAAAAAGTATTAATAACATTAATGTCTCAATTTCTTTAAACTATTCTTGAACGAGGACACGGATAAATTAAACAATTCAACACTATCTTGCAAATTATTGGCAGTTCTCAACATCCTTGTGATTGACTCATTTTTACCATAATTAGTGTGATGAAACTTTAGTCTAAACAGGTCAGGAGAGCGTGTTCTTCTAGAATTTACATTAAAAACAATTAATTCCAGCAGTTCCGGACAATCAACATAACCATTAAGAATTTTATGCAAAAAACGCAATTCACACTCAGATTCTCTATTTTCTAAAGTTTTCATATTAAGTTGACAAAGAATATAGTTATAATCACAGTTAGTTCTATTAAAACCCATTTTATACCTGCAAATTCTTAGGAATTTATTTTGAACTCGTTCCAACTGATCAATATACATATTATAATATGGATACCAAATAATATTACAATATTCCAAAATGGACCGAACTAGAGAACAATACAAAATTTTGAAAGTAAATATTGAAAATTCTCGGGAGTTCCTTTGAACAAAGCCGAGCATTCTATAAGCCCGCGATGTAATATTATTAATATGCCTATCAAACATTAGTCTTTGGTCAAATGTAATTCCAAGGTCTCTAATTTGATTTACTTCTGTAATCGATACTCCCTTAAGTATGTATGTTCTATATAACTGATGTTTAGTATTTCTGGAAAACGTAATTTTATAGCACTTTTTTATATTTAAATATAAGGCATTAATGTCACACCAACGAGATAAATTATTTAAGTCAGACTGAAGAGCATCCATATCAGAGGTATTTTTAATTGCTTTAAAGATCTTTATGTCATCAGCAAACAATAGAAATTCACTATTATTAATTACTGATGATATATCATTCACAAACAGATTAAATAGAAGTGGGCCTAAGTGAGAACCTTGAGGTACACCCGAAGTAACATTAATCGCTTCAGAAACAAAATCACCATATTTTACTATTTGTGAACGATCTGTTAAATAACTCGTGATCCAACCCAATAAATTATCTCCAATTCCGTATCCACGAAGTTTAGCAAATAATATTTCGTGATTTACCCTGTCAAATGCTTTGGCAAAATCAGCATATATGGAGTCAACTTGGTTTCCCGATTCCATAGAATCAACAATGAAGTTTGAATACAAAATAAGATTTGTACAAGTAGATTTCTTTTGATAGAAACCATGTTGTTGACCGAGAATTAAATTTTTACAATCGTAGGTTAACATATGGTTAACAAAAAAATCAAGCAACTTTGGTAGTTCAGACTGCAAACAAACAGCCCTGTAATTTTCAACATTATTATTTTGACCAGATTTAAAAATGGGTTTTAAAAAACTCACTTTCCAAAAATCAGGAAATGTAGAAGAAATTAATGACTTATTGAATAATAACTGAATAGGTTTAGCAAGAGTGAATACACATTTTTTAATAAAATACATTGGTATACCATCTGGACCCGCTGTCAGTTTCCACGGATTATTCTGTATCTTATCAATAATATCCTTAACATTAATTAAATAATTATTAGCATTAACATAATTTTCGTACTTAAAATTAGGAATCTGATTTATTTTTCCTTTATTATAGACAGTCGAAAAGAACCCAGCAAATAAATTCACAATATCTGAACCATTTTCACTACTTTCATTACCATAACTCATACTCGATGGTAGAACATGAGATTTGCGTTTATTATTAATATATTTCCAGAAAGAACAAGAATTATGAAAAATGCTAGCCTCAATTTCATTCACATGACGCCTTTGTAAATACTTGCTAAGCTCTTTACATTGTTCCCTGAGATCGGAAAAAAGACAATAGTTCTCATCACCATCAGTCATTTTAAATTTTTTATGTGCTTTTTTCTTCTCATAAAGTAAATGTTTTAACTCTGATGTAAACCATTTGGGATATGTAGATGTTTTAATTTTTTTTAATGGTATAAACAATTCGATTAAATAAAATAAAATATAAAAATCTTTAACTACGTCATTAATGCTTTTGTTAAGAAATAATAAATTCCAGTCAACTTCTGCTAAATAATAATTTAAAGCAACATAATCACCATTTTTAAGTACTACGATTACCGCTGTATCACTGTCAGTTTAATCCCGTCGAACACATCTGGGGTATTATGTAAAACGTTTTATGATAATCATCTTGGATGCAGTAGATACAGTGACGCCTCTTAAGACATTCGATCACTCCTTGATCCAATGGTTGGATGATACTTGTTACATTTGGTGGAAGAAAAATACATTTTATTCCAGGCTCCTTTTCACTCTAAATGTTTTCAAGGTGTTGTTATATATTTATAGAATTATAATAAATAAGACTCAACTAATTTAACTAACTTATTTATTGACACACTCACAATTGACATGACATAGATTACCTAACCTAACATAAAACATAGTGGCCTCTTTCTAAAGGTACATTCATAACAATCTTCCCCGCTTAAAAAAGTAAAGAAAATAATTACTAAACAAATGTTACAAATTTAATTTTGTAGGAGCTTTAATTACTCTACCTGAACGAGTAGCAGTAACTTTTGGAGTAGTAGAAAGTCTGACCTCAGTTTTATCAAAAATCCTTTCAGTATTTTCATTAAAATCATTAAATTCATTCTTATCATTACTAATAGGACTCTCTACTGTTTCATTTGTTACTGATACTTGTCTCGACATTACATTATTAGGGTTTACATTTGTAACTGATTCTTGCCCAGAATCATTTACAACTTTTTCAGTAGTGGAAACTATCGGTTTTTGTTCAGTATAGGTATCTTCCTCAAATTTACATTTACGAATATCACTAGCATGTACAAAACTTATATTTTCCCCTATTTGTACAAAATATGTTGACGCACTTACAACTCGTACTATCTTACCCCTGGACCATAACTTGGTTAATTTATTCTTTACATATACAGCTTCGTTAACATTATATAGTTTTATACCATTAGATGAACTTGAATCTGCAATACGGGTTTTATTATTAGGTTTAATTAAATCAAATCGCGTTCTAGGCTTGACTTTAAATAAGTTCTCTGATGGACTAATGCCTGTAACCGTTGATGGTGTATTTCTATATGTAAACAAAAAATTTAACAACTGGCTTGCAATCATCTGTCTTGTTATTAGAACGCTTCTTCCAAAATTTAATGTTTTGTCCAATCCCTTTTTTACAGTTTGCACTGCTCTCTCCGCAATGCCATTACTTTGTGGGTGATAGGGTGGTGCCTTTATTGGTTTGAT